AATAATAATAATAAAAAAATTGAGTTTTCTTTTAGTTTGACTGAAGATTTGTACTGATTGTACATCACTTGCAGACATATGAGTGCTCAGCAGAAAAAAATCAACTCAATTCAGTTTATCAATCAATCAATCAATCAATCAATCAATCAATCAATCAATCAATCAATCAATCAATCAACTTTATTTATATAGCACATTTTAAAAACCACAAGGGTAGCCAAAATGCTGCACAATAAAACAATAAAAACAAACAAAACAATAAAAACATACAAAGCATACACAAAGAAACATAAAAAAAACATTCACTTATTATATTCACTTATTTATGTAGTTCCAAGTCCCAACAGAAATCGTCTCAGGGCACTGTACAAAAACGTTCACACATATTATAAAAGCGTATTAGTAAATGTTATTTATCTAATGAAGCAGCAGATTGTGTTGAATCTTCACTTTGTCACAGTCTCCCATCCTGAGCAACACAAAGGAGACAGGAAGAAACCTTCAGCAGAACCAGGCTCAGGACAAGCAGCCATCTGCTTCGACCAACTGGGTTTGAGAGGACAGGAAGGAGAGACAAATGAGCACAGAATGACAGGTCCAGGTATACATTCTATAGGAGGAAAGACAAAAAAAGTACATGTTAAGATAGAAATAATTACAAATACAGACAGGAAGAGTAGAGAAAGTAAAGACAGGAGCAAAGAGGAAAAGTGGTCATATGTCCTCCAGTGTCTAAGCCTATAACAGCATAACTTTCATTCAACCTTTATTTCTATAGGTTAATCCCAATGAGCATCGGGGACTCGTTTACAAGAGAGACTTGGTTACTTCAACAAAGAATGATGACAACAATGAACAACAACAAAAATAGACGGTCACAAAAGAGGCATACAAATTTAATTTATTATTATTGTTTTTTTTACAAATCAAAACAAAATAGCAACCAAACGGACAGTCAAGAGGATAAGTAGCGAAAATACAAAAACAAAAACAAAAACAAAAAAACAACTAGATTATAAGGCAGTGTATAAAACTAAAAACGGGAACATGCCTGCAGGAACTGAACAGATGTTTGAAGACACTTAGAGAGGTCAAAGGTAGAGAGCTTCAGATCTTTTTACAAGATATTCCAGGAAACAGGAGCGGAGTAGGAGAAGGTCCTTTTGTCTAGTTCAGTCCTCACTGAGAGAACACTGCAGGTAATAATGTCCTGAGAGCGCACGCTGTAGCTGCACTCACACAGAGACATGTAGGAGGAGATGTATGAAGGCAGCAGACCAAAAAATTAATATTACATTTCATTTGTATAGCGCCAAGACGCTTAAATTATTTAAAGATGAAAATGTACCAGTGGAATAGTCTGTGTGAAGTTAATGATGTCCAGTTAACTAGTGAATACTGGGTGCTGTGATAACTAATGGGGCTTTTGGTCTGCTCCTACTCAGCCCCCGACTCTACTCAACACCCCACGGAAAAATCGTTATTCCACAGTACATTTTAACTGATTCGAGGCTGATTCACGACCTTGTTTGGTTCC